TGATGCTGGGAGTATAATTAATCGTAGATGTTGAATATATGTTCGTATTCAAGCAGAATTGAATGTTGGATTCAAAGAACAAAAAACGAATGAATTCAACTGTTATCTAATTCTCTACATTTATGTATTTGTGATTGAAAGCTATTATATCATATTTACAAGTTTGTCACTCTCTCTTTTACGTTTAGAGGCAAATTAAATGAGTGACTGCGAATGATTCCCCCATTCTCAATCTTTTTTATTTTTTCAATTGAACCCACCTCTCTTTCTCTCTCTCTCTCTCTCTCTCTCTATATATATATATATATATATATATATATATATATATATATATATATATATATATATATATATATATATATAGGGTTAGGTTCATGTGAGACGACCTAATTTTATGAGACCGTGAGATGCATTTTTTTATTTATTTTTTATTTTTTAAAATTTTTTTTTTAGTTAACTCAAGTTTCGAAAATAATATTTAAAAAAAGAATTTTTGGATTTTTCCATTTATTTTGCATTTTAAAATTATTTTTTAGAATATGTCAGTGTAATATTCTATTAGAATATTTCATGTATTTTTCAAAAAAAAATGGAATTTATTTTTATTTTTTTTAGTTAATTCAAGTTCCGAAAATAATATTTAAAAAAATAATTTTTAGATTTTTCCATTTATTCTGCATTTTAAAATTACTTTTTAGAATATGTCAGTGTAATATTCTATTTAGAATATTTCAATTATTTTAAAAAAAAAAAAAAACATAATTTTTTTTTAATTTTTTTAGTTAATTCAAGTTCCGAAAATATTATTTAAAAAAAGAATTTTTGCATTTTTCCATTTATTTTACATTTTAAAATTATTTTGTGATTTGGTCTCACGGTCTCACAAAATTAGAATGGTCTCAACTGAACCTGAACCTATATATATATATATATATATATATATATATATATATATATATATATATATATATATATACACTAGAGAAGTTTGAGGCTCGTGCTAAGCACGACCCATAGAGGGTAATTTATGTATTCTTATTTATCATTGTCTAAAGTACATTGTGCTAATAACCAAAAATAAATATTCTATCATGTTTTAAATCATCAATATTTATACACAACATAGTATCAATGTGATTTCATCTGCAAAACTTCCATAAGTTTTATAAGGTTCGTTGGGAGAAAAGGAGGAACAATTGTAAGAAAATCAATTCACTTTTGTTGGTCGTTTGTGATAACGTTATACTTACCTTTATTTGACAATTTTTTTAAGAAAAAAATATATTCAAACTTTCTTTTATATATGCATTTGTAGCTTTAATCATACAGACTTCTCTATGAATCCTTCTAATAATAGCGGTTTTACCTGTAAAATTGCATAGAGTAATTTGGATAATAAAATGAAAGTATAGTACTATAATACATTGGTATTAATTAATGACATATAGATTGAAGGTGTAATGTTGTAATAGAAGAAATAGAAGTATGATGCTATAATACATAAATAAATGAAATTACATTGCTGGTTCTTACATATGGTTCTAGATTTTTCTATTGTTTTATCTAACAATCTGTGTTTTTAGTAGATACAGTCGTACATAACATATAAAAAACTATATTATATCAACAAAATTGCCATTTTTAAATTGATGATAATTCTTTTTAAAATAAATTAAGGAAAATATAAATAACTTACTTTGAGATATGCCCTATATATATAAGTTCATTGCCACCCCTTACTATATTAAACGACTTGAATGTACATCACCCAACTTGAAGAACCCGAAAATTATTGTCATCAAAATCATAGCAATAAATTGTTATTTACAAATCTACAACATTATCCCAAAATAGAAAACTTGAACACTGATAACTACAAACTATTTAAAGCACTAATTGAGAAAGTAAGATACCTATGAAAATTTTGCCAAATATAATCAACCAATTTTGTTTGTCAACATCATAAATGTCCTTTCATCTAGTCAATCTAAGAAATTTTATAGCACTAATTAGGATTCACCAAAAAAATTATGAAAGACAACATTTATTATAATGGTTGTAAAGTAAGCATACTTGATAGGTTCACCTCTTAGCAAAGTTACTCACACAAATGTTGCAATACCTTTTGGTAGTGTGGCAGGATATGCTCCTAAATGGTAAATTTGAAAAAGAATTCACAATATCATCAAAATTTTAAATTACAAATGGTGATAAAATCAAATTCCATTAAAGAGATGAACTTACAGTCGATTGTTATCTGGTGGTTACTTGGTTGTGCACCTTTTTTCCCATTGACAAACCCGATTTTCATGTCCTTAAATAAGCACAAAAAAGGTAATTAGTGAAAATTTATCCTACTTTGATCGAATATCTGATGTTCTGTTGATATTAACTTTAAGTGAAGATATCACTGACTAAGGAATTTTAGTCGGTGTGCAAAAGTGCATCAACTATTAGAACAACCATCCATCAACAAGCTTCATAAGTAGTTGTAAATTGGGGCTAATCTCTCTCAGGAAAAGTTTTTAAATCACAAAACAGATGAAAATAAGTAACGAGCATGCTCCACTACTTACGTGTCATTCAAGTTAAAATCTTATATAATTAAACAAATCAAAATCAATGATTCAAACAAAAGATGATTTCTAAATGAAAGTAGTTATTGACAGAAATAGAAGGTAACCTGTCATTCACTCCTTGTCTTGACTCATCATTCCAAGTTCCTAAAAAACTCCAGCACAAAAACAAATTAGGTTTGAACATTAAACTTAAAAGCACTTTGATTGAAGAAACTAAAAAAGAACAGGGTAGATGTGGATTACTAAAACTCCAAAAATGATAGGATAACAAATTTCATTTATAAGCTGAAAATCCGATAACAAATTATACCTATGAATATGAAAACCATCAACACCATATTCGTGTTCCTGTTTACATCACAGCAACATAAGAATATGCTATAAAAATCAACAAAAAGCAAAAAAACATAATTTGTGCCTATGAAATCAAAGAAAAAATGTATGAAAAATCAAAGATGAAATCAATTGGGCAAAGAGGTGCTTACAGAGATGTTTCATCAAGAACTACAGTCACTTCAAAATTATCCACTGGTTGCAATTGAGGCAAAATTAAAACAAGGACAACTTAACCAAAGAGACTTCATAAAATGATGTTAAATAGCATTCTCACTCTTATTCGTACACTTAATAGGGAGATAGAGTGACACCATATTGCTTAAGTAAAATAGTATTCATACACTTTCTCAAAGCCTTCAACTAATATATCTATCATCACTTGTAACATAAAAGAAATTATTATAAGTCCTAACCAACACAATTACCATGGTGCATAATATACTCCAGTTTACATGAGTAAGATATCCATGAAACTAACGACAGTTTTTCCTATCATAAGGTTAAACCACTTAAACTTTCATAGAAAGCAAGATGTATGTAATTTAACCTTACATGTCATCTACTTGCTCGTTTTCAGAATTTCTAGTTGCTTTAAAAATAATCTATTATTGAAATATTAAATAGACGTCTTTTCTCTTTTAACAGCCAGGTATATTGCAAATCTCTGATGGAAGTGAATATCGTTTTCCACCAGCAGCATAAAATTCATCTCCTTTATTATTATATATTCGTATTTTCACTTTTAAAAATCATGCTCCCATGTTTCACTAAACTTATTTCATTATCAAATATTTACATTTTTTGGCCAAGGTAATATATATCCTTCATAACCAAAAAAGAACAGGAGGCTATGTAAACAATTATATTACAAATGTTTTTCTTATGATCTTATATTTCCTGTCTAAAAGGGCTAATTGCAAATAATATAAATGTATTCCCCTTTTGAGGATGAGATTAAAACAAGATATGAGAGCTTCTTGCTGTATGAAAATATGTTTTTAATAATCCACTCAAGGGAGAATTTCTTTATACCCTTATTATTAAACATCAATTCCATGTTGATGTATTAACTGAAAGGGGTAATTGTTCTATATGTGATTCAGAACATCCACATGTTGAACTTTATCATATGGGAAAACTGATCGAAGTCCAAAATCCTTGTACAGAAAACGAACCAAGTTATCAACTTACATGAAGATATTGACTCTCCCACGAAGAAGAAAGAAATAATCTGACTAAAACATGTACATAAAGATAAAAATCTTTAGGAACCTGAACTGAAAACCCATTGATTTTGTTAATGCGTAGAATAATCCAAGAACTTTCCAGGGGAGAGATACTTGCAAAATAAAGAAGAAATCGTAAATGTTTTATTAAGGGAAGGGGTTAGGCTAGGAACGAAGAGAAAAAAGAAAGAGATGAGGGGATCGAAAACTCCATTAGAGAAGAAAGGAATTAAAACCCTAGATGGTAATCGAAAAATCAATTCACGTTCTCGAATTAAAGTAAGATTTACGTGTTTTGTCAGGTCTGCCGATTCACTTTGATGGGCATTTGAGTAAAACATTGTTTTGACTAAATAAAACATTGCTTTCCTGGAAATGCATACATGCGCTATAGATGAAAGCAGAGAAGAAGGGTTTATATAGTTATTGAGGCGTCGCATGAGAAACCACGATAAGAATGATTGAATCGATGTATTGGTAAATTGCCTCGCTTTGATGGTGGGTTACGTGGAGGCAAAACAATAGGGAGAATTCGTTCTAGGAGGCACCAAAAAAATAATGTTTTTATATATAATAATGATATATATATATATATATATATATATATATATATATATATATATATATATATATATATATATATATATATATATATATATATATATAGTTACATGCATGATGCCATATCATTGCCAGCTTATCCCCACACACTCATCATCCACGCTAAAAATGAAATAAAATCACACTTTACAGTCTACACTCCACCCTTCTTTCATCCTCTCTTTCTTTTTTAATTCTAAACTGATCGTTAAACCGACGTTTAATAAATTCCGGCCAATCCTTCTCGCCGTGGACCATCATGACCTCCGGATGCATGTCAACATGCATTGCCGACGATGCCCGTGTCCCGGTTAGAGCTACATATGTTAACCTCTACAAATGGCCTGATTCTGACCGTGAGTTCGTCCGGTCTGTAAGTAGAAACAGTCACCGGAAGAACGGAGAAAGCCAGGGTCACCCCCGCCTGGTTGATAGTATCTCATGCCGGCAGCTTTACCTTCGAAGCTACACGTTTTCAAGAAAAGAGAGCTTGAATGAGAGAACCATGAACTGTATTGGAAGAGTTAAAGAAAGGGCGGTGGTTCGAGGGAAACAGAAAAAGTCTCCAACGAGTAGTGCAGGTGGCGGCCGGCAGAGAGATGGTGGAAAGAGTAGGAGGAGGAGGAGGAGGAGGAGGAAGTGCACAGTGGTTATGAAGGCGAAGGAGGCGTCGTATGCTGCCTTAGCTTCCATCTTCCGTAGGTTGTTATCTTGCACCACTAAGATTGATGTTGTGGACTGAGTTTTGATCATATGCATGAAGATCGATACTTTGATTTTTTTTTTTTTTTTTTTTTTTTTTTTTTTTTTTTTTCCTGTATGTAAGCTGCTTGATTTATGTTTATTTTCTTTATTTATGTTATCAATGTTAATACAACAAATATATAAAAACGATAACTCTATGTAAAGAAATTTTTATATAATTTTACTAGTCCATGAGTTATTTTAAGTGCTAAATACTTCAATCAATGTAAATGGCCTAAAACACAAGTGATATCTGAATGTTGAAAGCTAACCCATTTAAACTGTTTAACTAATAAATTATCTGAATTATTATAATATATGAATTGGTTTATATTGACATGTAGATTGTAGAATGTGTAAGTAGTGAGGCAGTATCAAAATATAGTTAATTAAATAGTCTGAGGTAAAATTAATTCATTAAAACAATGTATAGGACAATTAGATATTTGAAATTTCATGGCAAAAAAAAAAAAATCATGTAAAGAATTGATAAATTTTGAAATTTAGATGATAGTTCATCAATCTGTGTAAGTATTTTTTGGGCACTAAAATCATCTTTGAAATTGTCTAATACCCCCATATATAATTACCACTTATTACTTGTTCGTGGAAACAAAATACACATTAATTAATGATATATTCATTCTATTCTCATTTTGTGGATAATTTAGTCTTTAATGGATGATAGAATCACTTAATCACTTAAGTTATGTAATATACTAAAAAAAACAAAGGAATGAAGTGTTTTTTTTTTTTTTTTTTTTTTAATTTTTTTTTTCTGTATAAATTAATCATTATCATTGTTGACGTAAATATTTAGATGGTTATATTTTGTATCAAATAGTCAAAGTACTTTCTTTAAGTATTATAAATCAGATTATCGTATTACTAGTTACTCGTCTTCAATCAGAATACATAGCACTATATTTTAGATATTAACTAGATGTTAATTAACAAAATGTAATTATGCTTAGCATTACTTAGCTTGGATTGCATGACTTAAAATAATATGATTCGGCATGATGATAATAAAAGAACACACATTCTAACTAATATATATGATACATAAATTAAGAAGAAAGTAAATGACGGAAATTTTCGTCACTCTTGTATAATTTGTGTGATAGATTTAGTGGTCACTATGATGACTAGAAGAAGCATACCCTCGGAAAAAGGAAAAAAGGTTATCTTCAAATGAAGAAAGATGATTAAATACGCAAAGTCAAATAAATGCAACTTATAATGCAGGAATGGTTGTCTTTGTCAACAATAACAGTTTGCAATATATTAGTAACATGCACTTTAACAATTTAGATGAGTTATACGCTATATTTTTTCAATTATGTTTAAGCACTTGTAATCAATATTGATGATATCGGTTATCATACGCTATTGAAATAACCAATAGTATAATTTTTTTGAATGTTAAAAACACACATCATCTAATTCTACTTTTCATTCTACATCTTTATCATTGACAGGCTTTGAACTTCAATATTTTTAGAAGAGACCTTTTCTACACACCTTAATATCGTTACCTTGTGGTAACGATCGAGTAGTATAATAAAGACAAGGATATTCCGGAAGTCTGAGACTTTCCCGATGTATTCCCCGAAAACCTTCCGGGAGTACCTCCTGCGTGACAAGTCGAATTTCGCATTGACTTAATTCCTGGAGCCAACCCCATCGCCAAGTCCCCATATCGATTGACTCCAGCCAAAATGCAGGAATTATCTCCTCAAGTAAATGAACTACTGAGCAAAGGATTTATCCGACCAAGCTTCTCACCTTGAGGAGCACCAGTTCTATTCGTTAAGAAGAAAGACGGATCGTTTTGCATGTGCATCGATTACCGTGAGTTGAGCAAACTCACTATAAAAAACCGATACCCCCTACCCCGAATCGATGACCTATTCGACGAAATTCAGGGAGCTTGATACTTTTCATAAATTAAATTAAGGTTGGGTTACCACCAACTGCGTGTCCAGGAGGAGGATGTTCCCAAAACGGCGTTTCGGACACGTTACGATCACTACGAGTTCGTGGTGATACCCTTCGGATTGATGAATGCATCAGCTGTGTTCATCGACTTGATTTGTCATTGTATTCATTGATGACATATTCATCTATTCGTGAAGTAAGGAAGAGCACAACCAACATCTACGACAAATCCGGGAGACATTGACGATGGAAAAGCTATATGCCAAGTTTTCCAAATGTGAATTTTAGATCCGAGAGGTGGACTTCTTGGGGCATGTGGTCAGAAAAGAGGGGTTCCATGTGGATCCATCCAAAATCAAGGCAATCGAGAAATAGAAGGCACCAAGAACACCCACGGAGATCTGCCAGTTCTTAGGTCTTGCTGGCTACTACAGAAGATTTATTCAGAACTTCTCAAAGATCACTAAGCCACTCACTACGTTGACACAAAAAGGGGTGACCTTTAACTGAGAGGAAAAACAAGAAGATGCTTTTCAGACACTGAAACACGCCCTATGCAGTGCCCCGATCTTGTCTCTTCTAGAAGGAACCAATGATTTTATGGTCTATTGCGACACTTTGAATCAGGGTCTTGGGTGTGTGCTTATGCAAAAGGAAAAAGTCATAGCCAATGCCTCGAGACAACTTAAGACGCACGAAGTGAACTACACAACACATGACCTCGAGCTAGGAGTAATAGTGTTTACCTTGAAGATTTGGAGGCATTACCTCTATGGCACCAAATACATCGTCTTTACTGATCATAAAAGTCTCCCACACATTTTCGATCAAAAGGAATTAAACATTAAGCAACGACGATGGGTGGAGCTACTAAATGATTACGAATGTGAAATTCGATATCATTCAGGCAAGGACAACGTAGTAGCGGATGCCCTCAGCCGAAAGGAAGACTCACGCAGTTGAGTAAAGTCGTTGACCATAACTATCGATTCACACCTACCCACTCAGATCAAAGAGGCTCAGCTGGAAGCCTTGAAACTTGAAAATGTCTAGGAAGAATCCTTGAGAAGAATGGAGAAAAACCTAGAACTCGTGGGTCGGATCTAGACACCAAAATTTGGGGGATTCAGAGATGTTGTCATGAACGAGGCTCACAAGACTCGATACTCCATTCATCCGGGTTCCGATAAAATGTATCTGGATCTCAAGAAACTTTATTGGAGGCCGAACATGAAAGTCGACATCGCTACCTATGTGGGTAAGTGTCTGACTTGCACCAAGGTCAAGGTATATAACCAACAACCCTCGGGTTTCCTACAACAACCAAAAATACCCGAGTGGAGGTGGGAGCGGATAACCATGGACTTGATCACAAAGTTACCTAAGACCATAGGTGGAATCAACACCATCTGGGTGATCGTTGACAGGCTAACCAAATCCACGTACTTCCTACCAATAAAAGAGACGGACAAGATGGATAAACAGACCAGAACATACATCAAAGAAATCGTGTGACAGCATGGAGTACCAATATCCATTATCTTCGATAGAGATAATAGATTCACTTTACGATTCTGGCAGTTATTGCAAAAATCCCTGGGAACTAGGTTAGACATGAGTACGGCCTACCAAACAATACCGACGGTCAGAGTGAAAGAACTATCCAAACACTGGAGGATATGTTTAGAGCTTGTTTGATAGACTTTGGTAAATCTTGGGATGCCCATTTAACCGTTGTCGAATTCTCTTACAACAATAGCTATCACACTAGCATCGGAGTTGCTCCATTTGAAGCCCTTTATGCCGCAAGTACAACTCACCTCTATGTTGGGCGGAAGTGGGTGACACACAGTTAGCCAAATGAAAAGTTCTTGATGACACTCTCACTGGCCTGGAGATCATCAGGGAAATGACCGAGAAGGCTTTTCAAATTCGTGAATGACTGAAAGCCTCTCGAAATAGACAAAAGAGCTACGCATGCAAGAGACGAAACCCTTGGAATTTCAGGTTAGCGATCGGGTTCTATTAAAGGTCTCACCCTAGAAGGGCATGATATGCTTCGGAAAGCATGGAAAACTAAATCCGAAGTACATCAGACCATTTGAGATTCTTGTAAGGATTGGTCCAGTAACTCATAAAATCCAACTACCTCAAGAACTTAGTAATGTACACCCTACCTTTCACGTGTTCAATCTCAAGAAATGCTTATTAGATGAAACTTTGGTTATTCCACTCGATGAAATAGAAATTAATGAGAGTCTACACATCGAAGAAGAGCCTGTAGAAATCATGGATAGAGAGATCAAGAGGAAAAAACACAGTCGAATATTAGTGGTGAAGGTTTGTTGGAACGCTAAACGAGGACCTGAATTCACATGGGAACGAGAAGACCAAATGAAACAGAAATACCCACATTTTTTCCCAATACTTGAAGTCCCATGCAAATTCTTAATTTCAAGAAGAAATTCCCACTAATGAGGGGATAATGTGACAACTGGCAAACTTAGATCCAAACCAAGTCAAAAGATGTAATATGCATAAGTGAAAAACACATTGTAACTTTGTCACATTAAATCACCCTTAGCCTTGAGTGCATGCATATATATGTTAATATAAATTGAAATCCATGTTTATATATATATATATATATATATATATATATATATATATATACACACACACACACACATCGAAAACCATGAGGAAATAAGTAAATACAAACTAACATGAGATAAGGAGTCAAAAGGGTGAAGATTAGATAAAGAAATTACATTGTTTCAAAGATTTCGACTTCTAGACCCATACCCTTGAGTTTTCGACCACATAGGACCACAAACTACTTCATAACACAATTATATGGCCGAAAACACTTCATGGTAACACATAAGACTGAAAACCCTTTAGTAAAGGCCCATTAAGGCCGAAATCTATATCTAGTAGATCAAAATCTATTCAAGAATGAAGCTAGGAACAAAATCATGCCTCAATGAAGTGTAATTGAGAGATAACGGTCATCCTTGGCCGAAATCTCCTCCATTTGGTCGAAATCATCCATAG